TTTCAATACTGGCATACAATTACATAGAATATTCACAAAGATAATTAAATTTTATGCCCTAAGACCATTCGCGGTAATTAAGTAAATTAGGATGCAATCACACCGCTCACGTGAAGACGAAAATATAGAAAAGGTAAAATCAAGGGTTAAATTCATCAATTCTAATGAGAACGCACTAGCAAAGTAAAGCACTGCAGTTTTACATAATTTCTGAGTAAGCTCTTCGTACGAATTGAAATAATTCTTGCACTTAAATTTTTATTCCAAATTAAGATTTAACTTAAAATTAATGTAGATAATTACTGACAGAATTATATTTTTGTAGCATAGTTTACATGAGATGAGATCACTTGGGGTCACGTGATACGAACCGGCAAATCAGGATATTGAAGCATGATAGCATAGTAAATTCTTAAATTAATGTCCTTTTACAAATTTATTGTCTTTATTTATTGGCTTTTTACAAAATTTTAAACCATATTAAAATGTTTATGCCTTCAAAATAAAAAATTCTTAGAACTAACATTTGTAAACATTTTTTATATGTATACTGTACGCTGTCATCAATAAAGTCTGCTTGGCGAGATTTGCACCGGTGAAACGGAACAGTACCCTCTTTTCATTACTGTTATGTGGCAATTTATTTCTTAGGCTTAGTCTGATTAGATTTTCTTAATTTAGTGTTTGAGGTCTATGTGATTCGCAGTACATATATGAGTTTGAAATTGGGATTTTAACTGCTATTAAGTTGCTGGTTCTAAATTATCATTATCCCATCATTTCTACACAGGAAATATGTCTAATATAAATACTTGTTTTTCTCATTGTGGAGGGCACCACAAAAGAGACTTTGCTGGAGGTGATATCTCAGAAAATCCTGCTTGGAACAACTATCATCTCAACTGCTGGAAAACCTATGATCGCCTTGGTAATTAAAGTTTCAACATTTTTCAGTGAATCATTCTCTGACATATAAAATCCCTGAAATTGACACCCATGCCACACTTACTGAGGGCATGTGGAGTCAGATTAAGTGGGAGATGAAATTTCTGATTCCTACTTGGTTGAGTTTTATGGCTCAGAGCTACCGGGATCAGGAGGATGCGGAATCATTCCAGGACTATATAAATTGTACTAAAGAACTGTATGTGCTGCAGTCATGCAACATTGATGATAAGATCATGGTGTCTAAATGTCATCTTACTAGATTTACACTGATGATATTAAATCGAGAATCGCCAAAGTCTCGATGATTTTGAATCTCAGACTTTATACTGTATTATCATTTTATATTTTCTTTATGTCCACTGGGAAATTGCAGTATTATCTGCAGAAAAATGAAAGTGCCAAACTAGTCACATTGTTAGAACTTCTTTGAATCTGCCACATAAACTAAACTAAACTCAGTGGCTGAACAGCCCTAGTGGGCCATGGCTTGTAGTGCCCCAATATCTGTTTTCCTGACCGTGGGCCCCACGGTACATGAGCATATGTTTTGAAGAAGTGGTCAGCTTGTCGCAGGACTCCCGTTGTTTAGTCCTCAAGCGAACTTGGTACTCATTTTATCGACCTACTCAATGGATGAAAAACTCAGTCAACCTTACCCAGCCTGTATATCGAACCCTGGACCTGTGGTGTTGCTGCGCAACATGCTAGCCACTGTGCAAACAGGCCTCAGCCACTACACTTATTATGGCAACTTTAAGAGAAAAGTACCATGTTTTCTCTATTTAATATAAAATTATGGTACTTTTTTATTGATGAGGCACCACTTAGCGCCTCATCAATAAAAAAGTACCATATGATAAAGCTTTATGGAAAATAAAATGATATGTAAAGCTTTATGGAAAATAAGATAAACTTTTATAAAAGTTTATCATATTGTATGATATATATATGTTTACTGTGAGCAATGTTGAATTTTTGAATTCTCTGATTTTTTGCTTTAAAGGAAAAAAAAAAGATTGATCTTTGGATTATGGTAACTTGGCAATTTTTTGGCGACCAACTCTGCTACAGCAACCCTCTATTTTTTTTTTTTTTTTTTAATTTTTTTTTTCCGCCGCCATTTTGTCTTCACGAAGTAAAGACATGTTTCTTTTCTTTTTTATTTACTGAACACTTTTTCCAACAATCTACTAGCCAAATTACACTTATACTAGAAATTTTTATCTAACAAAACTGCTTATCATAACATATTCACTGCAAAATTGCAAATTGGGGAAAAGTGCACAATCACAAACTCCTTGCGCGTTTTTCACAATAACACATACACATAAACCATGTACACGTCGACTTATTTTTACTTAAAAAAACATCCCAGAACTGCACAAAAATGGCATTGCGCACACTCTTCACTATATCCATGTACACTGCTTTTTTCTCATAAATTAGAAAAATTTCACGAAAATTCATGACAATTTTCTGAATCTTTAAACCCGGTAAAAAGAACATATATGAAATTACCTGATAATGAAAATGTATATACCCTTTCCAAATATGAACATTTCCACGTATAAAATAAATAAAATATCCAAAAACTTTTACCTCTAAATTATTTATTATATTATAAACGTCACCAACGAATTCATAACACAAACATTACAAATGGTTACAAATACTTAGTGTCAAATATTTAAATTACTTCCATATACGTTTACTTCAACTGAAAAGTATACCAAATTCCTATAAACATAAAATTCACAAAATAACTTTCATTTAATTAAAATATCACTAAACCATGTACACATCGACTTATTTTTACTTAAAAAAACATCCCAGAATTGTACAAAAATGGCATTCCTCACACTCTTCGCTATATCCATGTACACTGCTTTTTTCTCATAAATTAGAAAAATTTCACGAAAATGCATGAAAATACTCAACGTATACTACTCAAACGTATTCCAAAATACAGTAAGACCCCGCTTAACGCAGGGGATCCGTTCCATCAAAGTAGAGCATAATGCGAAACAGCGCTAAACGAGGCTATCTTAACATGTAAATAATGGAAATTGGTTAGGTGTTGGGGAAATGGTTAAATAAAAATTATTTTTTAATAAAAAATTTAGAATTTAATCTTTTTTACAAAATAAACCACAACATTTTATCTTACAAAAATAAAAACAATATAAACGAATATATTTATAAAAACAAATAAAATTCTAAGCCAGTCAGATCATTCAGTCTATTCTGTGTTTCCAATTTTCTGCCTTTTTTTTTCAAGAAGGCATTATGATAGATTGGCTTAATGGCATATTGCGTTCAATTTCGTCGTCAATCCATATAGACAGTCGTTTTTCCATTTCCTCTATAATGTTATTTCTAGAACGGGTAATTCTAGTCGCAGAACTTGACGTAGTTGCAGTTGCCGATGACAGTATTTTTTCTTTATTCTTAAGAATTGTCCTTATTGTTGAAGCTGCCAAATTCAATACAGCACTAATTTGAGATTGACTCTCACCAGAATCTAATCTTTAATCACTTGCATTTTAGTTTCCAGTGAAATGCTTTTTCTGGTTGCTTTCTTTTCTTGTTTTTTATTATCACCCATGATAAAAACTAAAGATCATAATATTTGTCACTGTATTAATCGTTATAGTATTATGTAAATTTATACTTACAATAATGTCAACATGTTTCAAATGATAAAAATGCTTCCATACAGCACCTCACCGCACCAAACAAGAAACATAACTACAAAGTTTCGGATATGTTATTTGGAAACCTACCGCTACGCACAATTTCGAGGAATCCCCGTAGTTCACGCTGCGAGCAATTTCGGGAATCCCGAGGTTGAAATAAAAGAGCGCTAAACAGAAACAGTGCTAAACGAAACAGCGTTAAGCGGAGTCTTACTGTACTACAAATATATAACTCACAAAATCACGATCATTAAATTAAAATATAATTAAATTAAAAAACACTACTTAAAATATAAATAAGCACATACATTAAATTAATAAAAATTAGATTACAATCCTAATTACTTTAAACTAAATCACTGCTAATAACAATTTTCCAATAATACCACATTAATTTACTCCTTACATTTAGAACAATGCATAAAAATAATATCCTCGAATGATTAAAAATACTAACTTACCTAATCTTCTTCAGAATCTTCATTACGTGGCTGCAGTACTACTGCTAATTTCTAAATCCTAAATCCAGTATTCAACTGAAAGTCTATTCACCAACTAATAAGAAATTAATAAAATTTCACCTATACTCAAACTACTTTCAGCAAACCACGTACCCTTCCTTACAGTCCTTTTCACAAAATGTCCATTTTCACCATATTTTCTTGCACCGCAATTTAAACTTAACTGTAATATCCTTCCTTTCACACAATCTCAACTTATTATTATTATCAGGTAAATGCATTAAAAATTTTAAATTCACTTTACCTAGCGCCATGCAATCCGAAAATTAATCAACACTATTTCACATAACACACAATGAAGCTTAATACAAAATAATTTTTCCAAATTAACCCCCTTTTCCAATTAAAGAACTGTAATTCGTCCATTAATGTCACGTTTCACAGAACACAGAATAAAGCTAAATACGGAATTTTCCAGATTTCACCCCTTTTCCAATTAAACAACTGTAATTCGTCCATTAATGTCACATGACATATATCATGATCTCTCATTTCCCTCACACAAAATAATGCGTAATCGGAACTGAGTGCTTCTCACATTATTACCAAAGTCCTAGGTAGTAACCTTTATCGCCTCCAAAATGTTGCCAAACTACCAGTTACCATATTCCAAAGATCAGCCAAAAAAAAATCAGAGAATTGCATAAATTTAGCATTATGCACATTAAACATTGCATAGCTATTCATGATGCAACAGACAGAGGCTACCACATTCGGTGACTAGTGCCCTGCTGCTAGAAAAGTACCAGGATTATTTAACATAAAAATGATAGTAATGAATATGCAATATTACTAATTTGATAGCATTTAATTAACACTGGAATTATAAAACATATTTTTGTACTAATAAAAGTTTTAATTTACAAATAGCATTAAATGTTACAGGAATTCAACTTTATATGACGGTTTAGTAAGTATAACATTTCAAGCACCCTTCTTGTATTTTTAATTTAAAGAAAAATGCAATTTTATGCATAAATTTAAAAAACACAGGGGAAAAAATGCACTAAATATATTGAACAGATTGAGATTATTCACTTTGATCATCAGATTCATATTCAAGATCATCGGTTTCATCTTCATCATTTTCAATATTTTCCAAATCATAACATTCACAAAATGCACTGTATTCGTCTTCAGTCAAACCAGTCAGTTTTAAAAATGTCGTAATATTCCTGCTAAATATTTTATGAAGAGGTGGATTTTTTAACTTCTTTGCTCGCTTATGTAATCTGTAACGTCCAGCACGAAGCATAAAAGTATGCCGATATTTAATATGACTTAAATCAAACTGCAATGCAGTGGATTTGACAATACTTTTTTGATCAACACCCATATGATGAAGAATATATTGAATTTTTTCAAGGATAGTAGGAAAATCATCCAAAAAAACTTTTGGGCAAGTAACAAATAATTTTGCAATATCTTTTCTTGTGAAGACAGTCATTAATTCTTTTTTCCGAAGATTTACATATTCTGGATTTAAAAGCATAAGTTCTGGATTTGCTGTCAACATTGTAAAAAATTTGTCATTAACTTCAAATGAATGCCAGTTCACTAAATTTGATTTCAATTCGTTTTCATTCAGCGTCAGAACTGAATGAGGGGAATTAAAAATCCGCGAAATTTGTCGTTCACTGAAACCGAAATTCTGAAGCAAATTAGTATATTTTGATACTTTCTTATCACTTTCTATTACGAGCGATGGTATACTTTTAGTAAACCGGGATTTTTCACAACTATGTAAACATCGAGCGATAAAAATCATCATTTTTCCAACACTGAAGTGTTGCACCTTTGAATATGCTATGCTGTATGCCATTTAAAACTTTAAAAGTGATCTTTGGCTTTAAAAATACAATAATTAATTTTCATATTACGCTAATCATCGGAATCTTTGACGATTTGCCCGATGGATGAAAATGTATTACACTGGGCAACATAAAAGTATGGCTAGGCAAGAGAGAATGTTCTCGACGACGACGAGGACGCCGTCAACAGGAAAGAACGGGTGCTTTTTTGCGATCTACTCGACAAAGAGCAAGTCTCTTGTCAAAGAGCAATAAGGGCTACTATAAAGGGTAGCTCTACCCTCAATCATTACAGAGATCAACGCGTTGAAAATTTTTCAGTCAGCTTTGTAACTGCCGTTGTTTATCCTTATCCGCGCCAGTATTGCCGGGATATCGCGCAAGGCGCGATTTGTCCGGCTCGTGAAGCCATGCCCACAGGGTACATGACAGTAGTATTACATGACAAGTCGGTAAAATCATTAAGGTGGTAAAAGGGGGGTGACCATGCATCACAGAGCCGAAGAAAAGCCAGAATACGAGATAAACCAAACTCAGGAGCAGTGAGGAAAACGTGGGTGCATGTCTGTGTTGATACATAGAGTAAACAGAGACAAGTCATGACAAGCCGTTTAACTTCCTGACTGCCGCTTTTGAGCTAAACTGAGAACGGCAGGCATTGCGGATAGTTTTTGGAAGCTTACGTAACGGATATTTTAATTTCTTAAGATTTGCGAAAAGACTTTCGGGATAGAAATAACGCATTTGATGCTGACAATTCTACTTTTATTGGTTTATTTCGACTTGCTAAACCTATAGCATGGACATTTATCAATAAATTATAGCCATACTTTACCGGAGCATCCAAAATAAAGACAGCAATAAATAATTAAAAGTAAAGATATAGGCTTCTGCTATTGATCTATAAGATAAGCAATTCCTTAATTTAATTCTAGTGAAAATGTTGGAGACGGCTGCTGCAGACAGACGATTACGTAACGGTTCGGCGAAGGTCAACAGAAGGAGCGCCGCATCTGATTGAACTATTTATTATTCTTATTTTTTCTTTAATTGCGAACTAAGCGGGGAAATTCCCTTTTCACTCAGTTATATGTATGCACTAGTTAAAGTAATTTAACGTTTTCAGCTTGTGTGAGATATCCATATTAAATCTTTATATTAATAATCCCTGCTGTGATTATTGAATTTGTAACCTGCATGTTGTAGCCCTGTCAGTTGCAACATAGTAAATTTGGCGTCCGCTACTTTATATTTTTGATGATGAAATATGGATATAAAAGTTCTTGAAAGCAAAAACTGAAAGTTGCTGAGAACAGAGTTTACGATATGCTGCAATGATATAGCTCAGAAGACGAAAACAAAAGTTTAATAAGTGACGAAGTCAGTACGTTCTTTAAACAGATTCAAGACAAATTCACGTTTGGAAACAATTCTCAAGAAGAAGAATTTCGAATTTTTTGCTGAAGTGATGATGCCCTTCAAGATGAATATTCCGAAGATTTTTTGAAAGCAGAAGAATATCAAGAATACGTGCCAAGTTCTGCTTGATTTGTTCGCTGTTAGAAAATGCAAAGAAGGGAACTTCGATTTCGGTTACGGAAGGAACATTAACCGAGCAAAAAGGAAATTCAAGCTTCCGAAACTTGAGTTGAAGGAAATTTAGTGGAGAACCGATAAGACTTTCTTGCTTTTTAGGTTCCTAGTTTGAAAAAATTCACAGACGACCTGATCCTATTGTGGATGAAGATAAATTTCAATATCTTTTATTATGTGTGGTAGCAGATTCTAAAGCGTCAAGACTCGTAACAAGTTTTCCGCCAACTAAAGAAAACTATTCAAAGGTCATCGCACAACTTAAAGAACGCTTCGGGAGAGATGAACTTTTGGTTCAGATTTATGTACGGGATCTACTTTCCATAGTAATGAAAAATGCTGCTGGTAGGATTAAAGTAGATTTAGCTGAACTTTGTGATTTACTTGAGAGCAAGCTTATGGCTCTTGAAAGTCTCGGCAGAACTAAGGAAAAATTTGCAGAATTTTTAGAGCCACTTGTTGAGTCCTGTTACCAGAGACTGTTCTTCGTGCGTGGGAAAGAAGCCGCTCGATGGAAGATACTGCGTCACAACAAGATAGTGCGCGTTCGTTGGATAAACTTTTGTGCTTTCTTCGAAATGAATGCCAAAGTGGGGAAATGATTAAGCTCGCTCGTACCGGGTTGGGAGCTTCACGTTCTGCACATTCGCGTCCCCATTGTGATGATCCAGGTTGCTCTACAGCTGCTGCCTTGGTAAATGTTCAAGACAATACAGGTAGGCGAAATTTACGTTGTATTTTTTGTGAGAAATCCCACAATACTGCCGAATGTTTTTCTGCTCGCAAAATGTCTTTAGAAGATAAACGAAAGCTTTTGGTGCAAAAGCGCGCCTGTTTTCGCTGCCTACGAGTTGGACATAGTTCACGGGCATGCAAAAATAAAGTAAAATATTTATCATGTGCTAGATTTCACTATACCATTATGTGCTCAAATGCCGAACCTGTAAAGCCAAATGAAACTGACAGTACTGTTATTTCCAGTAATGTGTTGTCTAATCAGTCAACTGTCAATGAAAATGTGTATTTGCAAACACTTGTTTTAAGAATAGTATTTGAGGGTAGACAATTTACAGTTCGTACGATTTTGGACAGTGGTTCTCAGAAATCTTATCTTTCAGAAAAGGTTATCGCGTTTTTGCAACTACGTCCTAAATCGAAACGAACCATTATCCACGGTTTGTTTGGGGGGAGAGAGACAAGTCCTCATTCCCATTTAGTGTTTGATGTTAATTTAAGAAATTTTGAGGGCACTTATGACCATAACTTTGAAGTACTTTCTCAGAACAAAATATGTGGATGTGTTCCAAAAGTAGTTGATCCCAATACCCTAAAAGAATTAAAAGAAAGAAATATTACCTTGTCTGATTTGCAAGCTAAAGAATATGACACTGAATTGCTTTTAGGAGCAGATGCCATTGGGGAAATTATTACTGGCAGTTCTCTGAAACTGAACTCTGGTGTAACTGTAGTTGGGACTCAATTCGGATACACTGTGATTGGTAAAGTAAACAGCTTACCTAACGAACCGACTTTAGCTACTATTCCAACATTACTAGAAAATAATTTGTGTAATAATGTAGTTTCGTTGCATTGTGCTAATCTTAGCGTAACTCAACTCTGGAATTTAGATGCCATTGACATAACAGATCCAACTGAAGATGTTAAACGTAAACTTGCTCACTCTGACACCATTAAGCAATTTAAAGAGAATTTAAATGTTCTTCCTGATGACCGATATGAATTGCCACTACCCTTTAAATCTGAAATTCTGTTACCTAACAATAAGTCTATGACTTTTAAAAGCCATCAAAGAATGTGTCACCGAATTAATGAGGAAAATCAGTTAGATGAATATAAGGTAGTTTTTAAGCAATGGGAAGAACTAAAAATAATGGAAAAGGTTCCTGAAACTGAAATTGATGATTTGAGTTATTATTTGCCCCATAGACCTGTTATAAAGCATACTAGCCAGACAATGAAGGTAAGGCCGGTATTCGACGCTTCAGCCCGAGAGAGAAATCAGCCGTCCCTAAATGATTGTTTAAATAGAGGGCCGAAATTAATTGAACTCATACCTGATATAATTGACAGGTTTAGATTGTATTCCGTTGGTTTATCATCAGACATAGAAAAAAGGCATTTCTTCAGCTGAGTATTATCCCAGAACACAGAGATTATTGAGGTTTTTTCTTCCAACTCTTGAAGAACCTATGATTTACAGACACTGCAGAGTGGTATTCGGCGTTTGTTCGTCTCCGTTCCAACTCTCTGCATCCATAGAGCATCTCTTGGGTAATTCCCCTGCCGAGTTTGACGATGTAACCCAAAAATTAAAGCATTCGTTTTATGTTGACAATTCTGTTACTGGGGTTCACGATATCAAACAGCAAGAAAATTTTATAGTCAAGGCAACAGAAGTAATGGCTCGGGAATGTTTTAACCTACAGGGTTGGGAAAGTAATGTTCCAGGTCATTGCATTTCCTGTAGTTCAGGTATACCTTCTCTTCTTGGAATCTTATGGGATTTGGATAACAATACATTCAAATGTAATCTTAATTATTCAATGGATAATTATTACCTTGTCTGATTTGCAAGCTAAAGATAAGGTAAACGTACTATTTTGGCTATGGTAGATAAAATTTTTGATCCGCAGGGTTTTTTAAGTCCAACTCTTTGTTACCTTAGTTACTATTGCAGGAAGCTTGACTACTATGAAATTAAAATGGAGGCCCCTTGCCAGATAACATTCAGAAAACTTTTCAGAAGTGGCAGGAAGTGAAATTAAATATCTTGAGAAAATTAGTATTCCACAATACGTAGAGATAAATGAATTCAGATCTATTCTTTGATGCATGTAAGAGCTCTATGGTGCTGTGTTTACAAGAATTGTACGCCGGGGAGTCAAATTCGATTGATCAAAGCCAAATCCAGGGTGCGCCGTTAAATCTCTGACAATACCCGGTTAGAATTGATGGCCTTGTTGCATTGGCGCGAGACTAGTACACTCAGTATACGCCGCCTTAGATTTGCCTGATTTTTGAAAATTATTGCATTGGAGTGATTCTATGGTAGCACTCTGGTAGGATTAAGAACCGTGGTGATTGGTCAGTTTTCTTTGCGAATAGGGTAAAAGAAATAAACAGTCGTGATTCCTTCTCAGTGTTGGCGCCATGTTCCAGGTGATTTAAACCCGGCAGATATGCTTTCAAGAGGCAGTTACCCTCGTTCATTTTCCGATTCATATTGGTGGGAGGGTCCGTTCCTGGCTCCTCGGAACCTAATAACAACTGGCCACCAGACCGTTTGGCTTACGAGACTCTGAGGTAGAACGAAAAAAAAGGAAGGTCAGATTGTGTAACCTTAATTCAGTTGAAGCGGAAATACCTTGGTATGCAATTAGGTTTTCGAATTTTTCAATCCATCATTCGATTAGTCGCATGGATATTGCGGTTTGTGAAAAACGCAAAAAGTAAACGTGCATTTCGAGAGACTGGAGATTAACCACTTCATGAGATGGAATATGCAGAAAAAACTCTTATAAA